ACTTTTATACCCATATATCCTACCCTCCTACCCTCCCCCCCCCCCGTTACCCCTCCCCCTGAAATTGAAATTGAAATTGTTAAAATTTATTTATTTATTTTATTCTTTTTCTACCCCGCCTTCCCTACCAAGGCAGGCTCAGGGCAGCTTACACGAATGCATAAAAGTACCATTAAAATCAATTTTAAATTTTCTATTCCTTGACTCGGTCATCAATCAAAAGGGAGACTGCAACCAAGAGCTCTGAAGGAAACTGGGAAGGGCAGCCATGAAGGAGCTAGAAAAGATTCTTGCTGGCGACCCAGATCGGGATAATTCATGCCATAGTATTCCCCATTACTATGTATGGGTGTGAAAGCAGGACGATGAAGAAAACTGACAGGAAGAAAGTTGATTCATCTGAGATGTGGTGCTGGAGGAGGGTTTTATGGATACTGTGGACTGCCAAGAAGGCCAACAAGTGGGCTCTAGATCAGATCAAGCCTGAACTCTCCCTAGAAGCTAAAATGACGTAACTGAGGCTATTGTACTTTGGTCACATCACGAGAAGACCCGAGTTAATGCTAGGAAAAGTTGAAGGCAGCAGGAAAAGAGGAAGATCCAGCATGAGGTGGATTGACTCAATCAAGGAAGCCACCGCCTTCAGCTAGCAAGACCTGAGCAAGGCTGTTAACGATAGGACATTTAGGAGGTCATTAAATCATAGGATCTCTATAAATCAGAAGCAACTTGACAGCACTTAACACACTCATAAACAATAAAAAAGAAACCTATAACTGCTGTCAGTACCTGTTCTTTTCCCTCCCACCCCATTTTGTTGCTTGTTGACACCAATAGTAAACTAACAAAATTGTTATAACATCAACACATCATCTTATACTTGTTTGATTTTTCCCCAACTCAGAGGCTTTTCTTCCCCAAAATTCCTCCATAAAACTGCTCTTTTTGTCTCCCTTGCCGAGTCCTGACTAATTGCAATGGTTTAATAATGGTAAGATCCCAAACTTTGTGAAGCCAGTCATGCTCAGATGGGCATTCTGGCTTCTTCCACTGCTGTGTATGATCTCTAAGGCCCTAAAGAGATCTTGGGCATAGTTATCTTGAAGACTGCCACCACCTGTATGAACACAGCCCTAAGCTGAGATTATGTTTTGATGCCCTGCTTTGTGTTCAGTCTTTGTGTAAATCATAGTGGATGACGTGTAGGGCTCTTGTGACTGGTGTGTTAACCCCTCAAACTCTGCCCTGGGAACTCCCTTTGGTTACCCTGCAACTCTCTTGCGTATGCCTACATAAGGCGCCCTTGTCTAGGAATGCCTTTGGCTGCAGTGACAATTGAATGTTCTTTGTGCTTGTGCTGACATTCCGAGGGGAAGGGTTCTTTATGCTCCTATTACAGGTTTTGGAGGGGACTAATTACAGGGGGTTTGTTGGATTCTGTTGATTATCAGGTGTCTTCAAAGCAGAGACATAAAATTTCTGGAAAACTTGAAGCCATGGTGTGTGTCTGGGGGGGATCACACAGCCCCAAGGGAAATGCTGACAAAAACGGAAATAGATCCAATACTTCCTTATCAGGGCTAAAGTTCTTTTACTGCTTCACAATAGGATGCAACATTCATGACTTGTCACATAACATTTTACTATTTGACAGAGGGCTGTATTGTAAAGCTCCCTAAATTTTCCATTTTTTTTCCCCACCAAGAAAAAAAGAATGTCTTCAGTGAGGGAAATTATTCTGTGATTCCCCTCCCCTTTTCTTTTTCCTGGACCTACTAGAGGGTTTCTGGACAGAGTCTACCGGGCCATGATAACAAGTGTAAATAAATAGTGGACTTTTAAATCTATTTCAGAACTGTAAAATGTCAGTTGTTCTCTCCCCTCCCCTGCAAACGTAATTCTGAGAACTAGAGTGAGGGACGGGTCTCTCCATCCTCTGTGCCATCTGTTACCTTTCGGCTCCTAAATGTTAGATCTTTATCTCTGAGGAGGTAGTTGTCTGCAGCCTAGGTAGCCGAACAAAAGCTTGTCGGGGTAAATAGAAAGGTGAGCTGGTTCAGGCCCTGGCTTGGAACCTTCCATATGCTTTTAATCCGTCTGGCAGCGGTGGGGGCCTTTTGAAGTCGCTCTCCTCCCCTCTCCAGCTTCCCCTGTTGCCCAGCTGTCATCTCCCAAGATCTGCTCCCTGACACTGCTGCGGAGCACTCCTCTAAAAGCACAGTCATGTTTTTCCTTAATGTTCTTAGCCTCCGGGGACATGGAGTGACGACAGGAGTAACAAATGGTGCAATCTGCTCTATACAGCTGTGAGAAGGGGGGGGGAGTAGGATGGGGAGGCAGAAGATGCACGTATAGATTTTATTTTCCTGTACAGCTTGCATTGGGTCCGACTCTGTTGCTACACAGGATATTTGACAAACCAGTAGTCTTTAGTATGTCTGTTGGTAGCCGCATGGACTCTACTCTTAGGTCTCTGCTAGGTTTCAGCCATTCAGTATACTTTCAGTAGTATACCTCAGCCTGGAGAACGTAGAGTAATAACAGAGTGCCTCTTAGCACAATGCAGAGTGATTGCTGTTCATCGCTATTAACTGCAACACTGCAGTATACTTTAAACATCAGGGGTAGAACGTCTAGGTTGGAGAACAAGCCCTTCAGGCCAATTTGAATCTCTGCTCTCTTGTTCTGCAGATTGATTGCTAAATATTAGCCCATCCTCCTGTTTCCGTGAACATAGATGCAGCCTGCGTGGACGTGAGGTTACCTGAACAAAGTCTGAATCTAGTGGCACCTTTAAGACCAGCACGCACATGTCTTCAGATACAAATGGTGCACACAAAAGTTCATACCTTGAATAAAACTTTGTTGGCCTTAAAGGTGCCACTGGACTCAAACTTTGTTCTGCTGCTTCAGACGAACACGGCTACCCACCTGGTGAGGTCACCTTTGTAAGAAGGAGCCAACGCATGTTCTCTTTATGAATGAAACCGTGGATCAGTACCTGGATAAATGTGGTGTTTCAATCACACATTCAGTTGTACATTTCTTCAGTGTAATACGAGAATTACTCAACATATGTCTAGAGCAGGGGTGGCCAAACTGTGGCTCGGGAGCCACATGCAGCTCTTTCACACATATTGTGTGGCTCCTGGAAGGGTGGCTGGGGAAGCGAAGGGGAGGCATGCCTCCCCAGTTGGTTTTCCCTTCCCCAGCCAGTGTTCCTCTCCCTGGGTAGGTTTGAGATGGGGGGGGGGAGCAGAGAAGGAAAGCAACTTTAACTTTAAATGCATTCTCAAAGCCACCACTACCACCGGCTTCAAGAAGGCATTTGTCTCTTTAAATCCCTTCTCCAAGCCGATCTAGCTGGTGTGGGTGCATGGGTGTGTGTGTGTTGGAGAACACATTTAAAGTTAAAGTTGCATTCTTTTCACCTCTCCCTCCCTCCCCCCATTTATTTGCTTTCTTTCCACCTCTCTCTTTCTCTCTCTCTCTTCCCCCTCCTCTCTCCCTCCCCCATCCATTTGCTTTCTTTCCACCTCTTAGACAAATATCATTAGCAAACAATTAAATATCATTGGACAAATAAATATTGTCAATAACTGTTTTTATCCCCTTTGTTTTTATTTTTGGCAGACTCATTTAATGTTAATAAAAAGCAAATTTGCATATTTTCCAGTAAAAACGGGTGTGCAATATTTGTTCATATCTTGCGGCTCTCAAACATCTGACGTTTATTCCATGTGGCTCTTATGTTAAGCAAGTTTGGCCACCCTTGGTCTAGAGAAAAGTCCAGTATGGACTGTATATGGATTGTATGGGCATTCACTGTGACTTGTGAACAGGGCTACGATTTTTGTTAAAAACAGCCTCAGTAGTCTCAGACACCCTAGAATGCAGGCAGTGCTAGTCCAGTTCTTATAATTAGCAGACTGGCAGTCTTTTTCATGTGGTAGAGGAACAGACATGTACCTGTCCCATCCTTACAATGGAGCATGAACAGGTGTTCAGTGGTGAACAACACCAACAAGTCATTACAGATACCAGTCTTTGGAGGGCCACATAATGCTAAAGCAATCAGAAATTCACCCACAGCTATTAGTGCTCTGAGGTCTGTTCTAGCCAGGCTAGAGAACAAGGGTGGCATAACGGGGAAAGCATTGGATTGGTAGAGCTGGAAAAGGAGGGGCACAATGGGGGAAGCATTAGATTGGTAGAGCTACAATTACAGTTCAGTGCATGATTCTATCGGATTTCACTGGATGAGACAACAGTGATGTTGCAGTTAATTTCATAGTTAATTTCACAGTTAATTTTGATAGTCCAGGATAGTTCAGTTGCAACAGATCTTGGAAGTTAAGCCGATCAGCCCTGGTTAATACTTGGATGGGAGACCACCAAGGAAGTCCAGGGTTGCTGTGCAAAAGCAGACAATGGCAAACCCCCTCTCAACATCTCTTGCCTTGAAAACCCTTACAGGGTTGCCATAAGTTGGCTGTGACTTGATCCCCCCCCTCCGCCAATCCCATGTAAAAGCTTTTAAATCTTCTGCCACCATTTAATGCCATCCAGACCCTTTGACTTCCATTCCTTTACCAGACTTTTCCATAATGCTGGCTTCTTTGATGCTCCCGTGCACATTGGGAAGGCAACCCTAATACTAAATATGTGGCGTTTGCTATTGATGGCATTTAAAAGATACATGAATTTAATCTCCTGATGGCAAAATCCAGGAGGGGGGGGGGATTTAATCAGGTGGGCATAATCTCCAAGGGAAGTGAGTACTTGATTTTTAATTCTGTATTTTCCCTTTGACAAAAAAAACTTTTTGCGCAAATGTTGTTTATGTGGAATTTATATGAAGCCTGGGTTTAGGTAATCAGCTTTAATGTTTATACTCCTAGGGGGGGGAAAGTGGAATCATTAGCAAGGGTGCATAATTAATGAATAAATTAACTGGGTTTCTTTCTTTTTTCTTTCTTTTTTCCTCCAGGTATAAGGAAATGCTAGATCTCGTGACGTCACCCAGTGTGACTGTAAATAGAGAACAACCTGATAGACTGAAGCTGAATCTTTCTAACACTTATGCCACAGTTCCAGATGACATAGAAGGTAAGCCCGCGGTTCTTGGTCATAGTTGGTTAACTTCAGGTGCCTTTAGGCGGGGTGTGTGTGTATGTGTGTGTCTAACTTGGAAAGGCAGGCAAGGCCTAAGTTAGGAAGAATTATAGTTTCAAGGTGCGTGTCTGTTTTCTTAACACATCAAGCAAAACTAATTATTTCCTGGCAATCGCTTTGCTAGTGATGATTTTCAGTGGAAGGTGTATAGCACATGTTGGAAGGTGCTATAGATTACTGGGAAAATGTATACTTTGGACATGAGAGGCCCTGGAGTTACTCCCCCCCACCACCATCCAGGCAGCATTTTCTCTTGAAAGATAGCAATGTTGTTGTTGTTCAGTCACACAGTCGAGTCCGACTCTTTGCGACCCCATGGACAAGATCACGCCAGGCCCTCCTGTCTTCCGGCGTCCTCTGAAGTTTGCTCAATTTCATGTTCGTTGCATCTGTGACACTGTCTAACCATCTCATCCTTTACCGTCCCCGTCTTCTTTGACCTTCAGTCTTTCCAAGCATCAGGGTCTTCTCCAGTGAGTGCTCCCTTCTCATTTGGTGGCCAAAGTATTTGAGCTTCAGTTTCATTATCTGGCCTTCCAGGGAACAGTCAGGGTTGATTTCTTTTAGGATTGACTGATTTGATCTTCTTGCAATCCAAGGGACTCTCAAGAGTCTTCTCCAGCACCATAGTTCAAAAGAATCTATTCTTTGGCGCTCGGCGTTCCTTATAGTCCAGCCCTCGCAGCCATACATGACTACTGGGAATACCATTGCTTTGACCATGCGGACTTTTGTTGGCAGGGTGATGTCTCTACTTTTTATCATGCTGTCGAGGTTCTCCATCGCTTTCCTCCCAAGGAGCAGCCGTCTTTTAATTTTATGACTTTATGACACAGTCCCAGGAATCTGATATCAAATTGAGAGGACTCTGCTCAAATTAGGTTGCCGGGTGGCCACCAGCAGGGCATGGGGCAGTAGGTTTGCCAGATCCAGGTTGGGAAACTCCTGGAGATTTGAGGATGGCGCTGGAGAGGACAGAGACCGCAGTGGAATCATACCGTGCCACAGAGTTCACCCTCCAAACCAGCTTTTTTACCAGAGGAGCTGGTCTCTGTAGTGTGGAAATGAGCTGTTATTCTGGTGGTCCCCAGGTCTCACCTGGAGGCTGGCATCCCTAGCCCTAATACTGTAATGTTGCTTTCATTCATGCTTGGCAGTGTCAGGCCAAGATAGACCATTAGTCTGATTTTTCTCAAAAAGTTTTTTTGTTTGTTCACACCTTTTGGGGCAGAACATGGCTGAAGATGGAGATACCTGTAATATCCGGACAGTTTGTGATAATGAGCCTGATAAGAGCAATTTGTAGACCAGCTTCAAGGAGGTCTTCTTGACTGCAGTTTTTAGATATGCATCTGACTGTTGATGTAGCAAACTGTCGTCTTTTCTCCACTGCTGCTCTACCTGCATTGGCTCATAGGTTCCTTGATATCTTATAGCTAAACCTATTTATTTGTTTATTTATTAAATTAGGGTTTTTTTTATCACCCTTCCCCACTTGCGCAGGGCTCGGGGCAGTTCACAACAGGAAGGATAGGTAAAGGTAAAATGCTTTTTGCTCACATGTCTTTATAGAGCCCTAGGATTTACTAATGTACATGATCTAATTGACTCACTTGCATGGGGGCAATACTTATTCTTCTGGAATGTGTCCCTGGCAATTTATCTATTCATTTATACCCCAAGTTTTCTCCCCAGTGTGGACCCCAAAGCAGCTTGTGCCGTGTCTTCTCTTCTCCTAATTTTATCCTCGCAGTCTTGTGAGCTAAGTTAGGCTGAGAGAGAGTGCCTGTCTCAGTGTCACCCAGCAAGCTTCCATGCAGAGTTGGTATTCAAACCAGAGTCTCCCATATCCTAGTCTGACACTCTGGTCACTTACCCCACACGGTCCTTAATTTACCTTTGGAGAAAATGGTAAAAATACATTTTAAAACCTGGTAGCATGCATATACACTAAGCGTACTCACTTCCAGTAGAGGTCATAACTGTTTTCCCTCTATTTTTCAGTCCCTTACTGAGTTGGGGCTGGATGCATCCATGGATTGTGGTCCATGTGTCAAAAAAATGGCTTTGCTGCTGCCAACATCCATATCTGCCTTTCTGGGTTTTAAAGGTTGCCGGATGTGTTGGAATTTTGGCAGTTCTGTAATAAAGACAGCCTGGTCCAGTGTGAGGTCAACAGTCCATTAATATTCCTATGTTTTGTAAAAAAAAAAATTATGATCAGCAGGAGAAGACCATGCATTTAAAGCTTAGGATAGCGAGCTTTGGATTGAGGACGGAGTACTCAAGGATATTTCTGTTTGCATCTGTTAAATATTGCATGATTGTGCTAATGCAGCTACTTATTTACGTGTTGGGAGTGGGACTCTGTGCCTTTAAAACACACACACCAGAAAACAGATGCTGACGCTGTTGCAATAATTGCTGAACATTTGTTTAACACACTCACACTCACTCTCACTCTTCTGAGGTCTGAAGCTTCATACTTGGCAGGTATTAAGGACACATTCTTTTGGCGGTTGAGGTTAGGGGATGGAAACTTATCTGCCTTCCCCCCCCCTTTCCATCTTCTCTCTCCCACCCCCAGTCTTTTTTCATACAGTCCAAATGAAAGGAAAAGGAATGTTTTGAATCTGTTTTTAAAATTATTGGCAAGTGATGCAACTTAACTAGTTCTTGCTAGTACAATTCCAGTTACTCTTCGTTGCGGTTAGGAACCAACAACCTTCATGTTGGAGAAGAAGCAACACCAGCTTATTAACTAACCAACAGTGTCTTTGGAATCTTTGAACAAAGTTTGAGTCCAGTGGCACCTTTAAGACTGACAAAGTCTGATTCTGGGTATAAGCTTTTGTGAGCATGCACACTTCTTCAGATACGTACACCGATATCTTTATAAGGTATTTACAGTGTAGTACAAACCACGGCCATGATCCTTTCTGGGGCTTTTAAAACTCAGCAATACTGAGCTTGGCGGACTGGGAAGTGCATCTGGCCAGTCCTTCCATTAGTAAGTAGGTGGGTAGGCTATAAGTAAGGTGGGTAGGCTGTACTCTCTAGCAAGTTAGGTTTCTGAGATAATCTATCATTGCATCCTCAGTCCTATTCTATGTCCTTCTTTCATGTTACTGTGAGCCCTAAATTGGTGGTGCTGGATTATGAAAATAATTGTGGAATAACTTATTCATCATATGCATGAAAGGATAGAGACCACTGGTGGAAAACCAGCTCCCTTTTGTCTTGGCCCTCCCATGCATGTGTTGTTAAATCTCACAGAGCAAGTATACTACGGTTAGTCTAAATCTCACCAATGATATATACCAATGTTAGTCTAAACTGGCCTGTTACAGTTGGATCCTTAGTGGTGTCTTCGTGGAACTTCCATATTGAGTTAACTGGTTTATTATTGATAGGGTAGCCATTTCGTACCACTTTGCACGATATTTCATAGTTAGTGTTTGGAAATCTTTAAGTCTAGCAAATACAAGGAATAAATAAAATGAGATAATCCTGTGTGTATGCTGCTTTACATCAAACAATGGTTCTTCAAGGCGTCAAGCAGAGGCCTTTCCTGGTCTTGCAGCATAAGACCCTCTTCTTCAGGTTGGAGATGTTGGCATTTGAACTGGGGTTCTTGTGCTTGTCAAGCATGTACTTGAAAGTTTCCCGGTTCAATCCTGAGCATATCCACTTTAAGGATCTCTGAACCATTACCAGTCAGGCTAGGCACTGTTGGGCTGGATGAACCTATGTTCTGGCTCCATATAAGATGAAAATGTCTTCATTTTCATACGTTGATATGCCTTGCACTCCTTAAAGAGATGTGGTAATGAATGTGGTAATTAAATTAACCATGTGTTTTCTCCAGTTTCTTTCTTCCTTCTACCTTGCTGAAATAAAACTGGTCTTGCTAGCAGTGATCCTTTAATCCTATCTGTGTGTCAGCAAATGAGAGCCATGTGGGTGTAGTGGTTAGACGGTCAGACTAGGATCTGAGAGACCCAGGTTCAAATCCCCACTCTGCTATGGAAGCTTGGACCAGTAACACATTCTCAGCCTAACCTACCTCACAGAAAGGTGGGTGCCTTCAGTATGGTTCAACTGAACTTCAGGACTTCCTGATACATTTATATATACAATCTATCTTATTTTTTGTTAAAATATTTGCCCATGGCCTTCCCTTCACCCCAAGGCAGCTATTGGAGAAATGCTTGGTTTGTTGTATTGCCTGTAAGCTCACTTTTGGCCCAGGGGTAGGATGTAGGGATGGGCACGACCTGGGAAAATGGAGGTTCATCTTGGTTCATGGGGCTGCATGAACCGTGAACCTTCATGGGCCTTTCTGTTCACCGAACTGGTTCATTTTGTGAGATTTGTGAAGCTGCCCCCAGGATCTGCATGCAGTGGGGAGGTCTCTTGCCACTGCACACAGACCTGGCTGGGAGGCTTCTCCTGCCTCCCTGGATTTGCATGTGGTGGGGAGGTCCCTCACTGCTGCATGCAAACCTGGCTGGGAGGCTTCAAAGCGCCGGGCAGGAGAAGCTGCCCCCCCCCAGATCTGCATGCAATGGGGAGATCTCTTCTAAGTGGGGGGGGAGTGAAAGGGATTGCTGAAATGACTTGCATCTATTTTAGCCTAACAACTGACGGGCGCACCAGCCCCACTGTTAGGCTGAAATACATGCAAGCCATTTCAGCAATCCTTCTCACCCCACCCCCTCGCTTCTCACCATGAGCCCCATGAACCTCTGAAAAAATACATGGAGGGTCGTGGGAGGGTTGTAGATAGGGATGGGCATGAACCTTGGTTTGTGAACCGCGACTTGATGATTTTTGTCACAAATTTAGGTTTGTGATGAGGTTTGTGCCCATCCCTAGTAGGGAGTTTCCAGATCGCTGCCACTGGCTTCCTAGACAATCTTTAAAAATCACTA